GGGTCAGCGTCTGCTGGATAGTGTTCAGGCCCGCTCTCATACCTCCCCCTTTACTCTCTATCAAAATTCAATTGGGCAAACAATTGAATCTGAGGAAATGTTTGTGAGAATCTTATTGAATTGATTTTTCTTTCTCTCTCTCTCTCTATAGCGTATGAAAAATGGTGTTTTCTCTCTTTAGCCTCTCTCTCCATCTCTCTCTCTCTTCCTCGTAAATACTTCCAAAATTAAATAAATTTATACTACATTATAATAAAAATTATTGAGTTGACCCATATGTATTCAGACTGATCGGGTGAATAACATGTCGATTGTAATGAAGGGCGAAATTGCCAAACTATACACTAGTTTTATTTTGGTATAAACAATACCGCAAATTGACCCGTCTAGACGGTTCATCTCGCATAATACTACCTCCTATTTTTAGTATATGTCGTTTTGAGAAGTTGCACACTAATTAAGAATATTTTTTTTGTTAATAATAACTTTATTTAATAAAGATTGAGATGAATGTTTTGAGAAAAAGTGAATAGTGAATATGAAAAGACTTAATGTATTTATTGGCTAAATGAGGATAATAATGGAAAAATATGTACAAAATATCCAAAATGACATTTATTTAGCAAATAGTTGAAAAAACTAGAATGACATTTAAAAAAAATAGAAGGGAGTACTATTTTTTTCTCTAAAATTTACACATGCATAATTTATTATTCATTTACTCACATAATTTTAATTAACCATCACATCACATATTCTCTCTCCTACTTTTACATTAATTTCATTTTAATCATTTTATTTTAAATAATATTTTAATATACTCACTAACAATTAATCATATCAATTTTTTTAAATTTAACCAAACCAAACCAAAAATCCAATCAAAACAAAACAAATTTATATCCAAGCATGCTCTCAATTTCGCTTTTGTTAGCAAATATTCGGTCTTTTCTTTTTCCCCATGTTCTCTCGTTTTAGAGCATCTTTAATGGAATGTCAATTGAAAATTATAGTAGCATTGAAACAAAAACCTTTTCCAGTGGTGTGTTTTTTAATTCTACTCGTGATGAGTGGCATGAGATAGACTTAAAATATCTAAAAGTCTTTGTACATGTGAAAGTCATTCTAGACATGATTGACACATTTTTTTTCTCCTATTTACATCTTTTATTTTGATTTAAAATCCTAATAATTAGGTGTAGAAAAGTTGTTTATGCAAAAATACCGAAAGCACGAGAAAATATTTGCGGTAAATTATATTATAAATTTAATAATATATGTTGTTATAATTATGTACTAAAATGCATAATAAAGAGTACACTTAAAAAATACCGACAAAAATACCTGATAAATTTTAATTGTGTGGTAGGTGGTAACTCGTAAAAAAAAAATCTCGACGTATTGATTTATGATTAGTACAAGAATAATTTATACATGCAATTATTTTTTTTAAACAACATAAAAAGAAAAAAACAAACTTTTTTGGTTTTTTAGAACAACAATAGGAAAAA